AGGTTACTCCGGCCCAGGAGAGGTATGGTTACTCCGGCCCAGGAGAGACAGGGTTACTCCGGCCGAGGAGAGGCAAAGCTACTCCGGCATAAGAGGGACAAAGTTACTTCGGCACAGTGACTGTAGAGGTACTTCGGTCCGAAAGCAACTTGGAGTTGTGCCGGTCATGGGGTTATACCGGTCGAAAGTCGCTGGTTCGGTCTAAAACCGTACTATGGGTTCTATATGGAAAGCCGAGATAAGAAAGAGAAGACAAAAGAACCGAACTATGAGTGAGTTCGGTCCACTCGGTGGCTTAAGTATAGCCAAGATTTATTTCGGTCAAATGGTGGTTCGGCCATGGAGGAAACCATCCCACTTGATTTAAGCAGTGGGGGAGGGTGTAAAAGGATAAGCATTATCCTTAGGAGTATGAATCCTAGGAGGACACTGCATGGAGAAATACAAGTCCTACTAGGATTGTGCCACGGGAAACTTATAAAAGCCCACAAACATCACCTTGGGGGAGGTAATTGAACATAATTCTTTCTGAGAGCATAAAACTTTGTCCATTTGTCAAGCTTACTGACTTAGGCATCGGAGAGGTTTCCGGCACACACCCGCTGGCTAGCTTACGTTTGTGTTTTCAGGTGATAACGCGACGTCGTACGGAGGAGCGTGGACTTGGTCAACAGGATTATACGAGGAGAATTATTTCCTCCCCGTACACCTATATATTTTCTGTCTATATTTAAAATGCTAGTGGGTATTGCCAAACTATTAGATAGAATACAATATACTTTTCTTTGGGGTGGTGATGAGGTGAAGAGAAAAGTGCACCTTGTAAAGTGGAAGGAGGTGTGCAAAAATAAAAGCCAAGGTGGGCATGGTGAGAGGAAGCTCAATGAGTTCAATGAGTGTTTGTTAGTCAAATGATGGTAGAAATATGGCTTTGAAGATAAAGCATTATGGAAATAAGTGTTGTGCAGCAAGTATGGTCAGTTTGGTGGCAGATGGAGTCCTTTGGCAGTGGAGTCAGGGGGGGTATCTATTTTGTGGAAGGATATTCTGTCCCTAGTTTCAAGGAATCCTTCTTTGAGGGAATTTTTCTTTTCTAATTTCAAGATTGTGATTAGGAATGGTATTAGGAAAAAATTTTGGGTGGATGTGTGGTGTAATAATCAGAGTTTATCTTTTGTTTTTCCTAGACTTTATTCATTATCAGTTGATACGGATGGTTCAGTGTATGATTTCTTTCAACGGAAAACAGAGGGTGATGACTGAAACTTTTTGTTTAGAAGACAGCTCTTTGCTTGGGAAGAGGAGGATCTTTCTAATTTGTATGGGTACCTTCATGTTGCACCAAGTTTAAGAAATCATCATGAGGATCAGTGCACTTGGATGGCCCATCTATCTGGATTATTTTCTGTAGCCTCTGTGTGGAAGTGGTTGGATTCGAGTAAAGGGTCTAATATCAAATTTGTCATGGATATCTGAATAATATTGCTCCCCCAAAGGTTCAATTCATGACATGGTTAGCATGGAGAGGTAGGATGAAGTCTGCTGTCTTTGTGCAAAGGATTGGGGTGTTAAAGCCTAATGTAAACATCCTCTGTGTATTTTGCAAGTCAGAGGTGGAGTCATAGAATCATCTATTGTTGCATTGTAGTTGTATTTGGAAAGTGTGGTATTGGATTGTGGGCTGGTGGGGTTTGTCTTGGGCTAGTCCTGGATCAATGTAGTCCTTGATGAGTTAGTGGGCTGGTTTTAAGGTCTGAAAGAAAGTGAGGATGATTTGGAGAATTGTTCCTTTGGTTATGGAAATTAAGAAATGATTGTTTGTTTAATAATGCTTAACCTAATTTTGTGAATTTGGAAGAATTAGTGAAAGTCAGAGTGGCATTATGGGTAAAGTCTAGGATGAAGGATCTGCAATATTTTGAGCATGATTTTATTTTAAACTTACGACAGATCAACTACTCAGGGTAATGTGGTTGTTACTGGTGTATTGGCTGCACAATTCTGTGGTTGTCTGTGCTGCTTGTCTGCACAATTATGTTGGTCGTTGCATGTGCTGCTATTGAATTGGTTTTGGGCTATAGAGTTATCCATCGGGTGATGATCAAGTAGTGGAGGCTTTGCAAACAGAGGCTTTGCTGGATGTCGGTGTTAGTGCCGTGTTGATGTGCTGGTTTTTGTGGTTATCTGTTGCTTATTGTTTTGTTTTTATTCAAATTTGGTGAAAGTTAGAGTGGCATTATGGGCAAAGTCTAGTTTGAAGAATTTACATTACTTTGTGCATGATGTTATTTCAAACTTATGGCAGATGTATTACTAAGGTCTCGTTTGGGAACTATCATTTTTAGTCAAAAAGTCAAAAAGTTACTAAATTAGCCAAAAAGCCAACAACCCATACCAAAAAGTCAAAGATTCTATTTTCTCTCTACTTTTTGCACATCTTTTCGTAAAAAGCCAAAAAGTCATCCCAAACATACTAGTTTTTTTGAGCTCATATTTTAGCCAAATAGCCAAAAAGTTACTAAATTAGCCTGTTCCCAAACGAGGCCTAAGTGTAACTTTGGACAGCTGCTGGTGGAGTGGCTGGAAGGGTATGGAGGGGGCATTTTATTGTGGTGCTAATTGGCTAGAGTGCATATAGCAGCGGGGGATAGGTTATCTGGTTTGTTTTTTGCAGGTAGTCAACTTGGGTTTGCTGCAGTATTGATGATGTTTTTCTGCAGTATTGGTTTTGTTTTGTTGCACAGCTCTGTCATGGTTGGGATTGGTATGCTCACTCTGTCATAGTTGATGCTATTGATAGATCATTGTCATGGTTGCTGATTTATGTGCTGTTCAGAGCTGTTTTGGCTTCAGAATTATATATCAGGTCATGCTCTGGTGCCTATGATAGAAGATGAGTAGTGGAGGCTTTGCTTGCAGAGGAAAATTTTCACATTCTCTATCCAAACTAATGTTACTCCATAAAACACTACTAGAAAAGGGGGTATATGACACGGAACCTTTTGCGACGGTTTAAAAATCGTCATAAAAGTTTGCTTTTTGCGACGACAAATAAAACTGTGGCGAAATTAATTTTTGAAAAATGACTCGGAGCTCGAATTTTGCCCGGCTTGAATGGCCCGAACTGCCCAAAACGACGTCGTTTTGGGCAGTGTTTTTTTTTTTTTTTTTCTTTCTTTCGTTTTCATTTTTTCACAATCACATGCTTTTCTAAAACAAGTAAAATAGTGAGTATTTACAAGGTCTTTCTTATTCTTCTCACTTTCTATAGTGGGATTCATAAAGGCACTTTTAAAATCCGCCAACTTTTTTTTAAAACCTTAGAAACATACTACATACTATATTTTTGTTTTAAAAATCCTTTTAACACTATGAAGAAAATTTTTACATTATCTATCCAAACTAATGTTACTCCATAAAACACTACTAGAAAAGGGGGTATATGACACGGAACCTTTTGCGACGGTTTAAAAATCGTCACAAAAGTTCACTTTTTGCGACGACAAATAAAACCGTGGCGAAATTAATTTTTAAAAAATGACTCGGAGCTCGAATTTTGCCCGGCTTGAATGGCCCGAACTACCTAAAAAACAGAGAGGGAAGAGAAGAGGAGAGAGAGAGAGAGAGAGAGGAGAAGAGAAGAGGTGATGACGGTGATGGTGGCGGTGATCGACGGCCCGATCTCCTCTTTCAAACTTTTTTTGTTTTAGTTGATCTGGATCTAAAGATTAGTTCATCAAAAAAAAAAAAAAATTTGTTGATGATGAAGATGATGATGATGTTGAAAATGATGATGATGTTGTTGCAATTTGTTGATGTTGATGTTGATGAAGATGATGAACAAGATCTGCAAACCCAACGCAACAGACCCTTCTTCTTCTTCTTCCTTTTCTTCTTCTTCTTTATCAAAAAAATCTGTAGAAAAACGCAAAAAAAAAAGAAATATATATATATATATATATCAAAACGACGTCGTTTTGATGTTAGGCCATTCGAGTCACGCTAATTTCGAGCTACAAATCGGAACTGTAATTTTGTTTTCAGTAATAAAAAATTTGTTCATCATGACTAGAAGCATTTTCTCATTACTGAGGCAGAAAGAGAGAGACCAGTGAATAGTAACACCATAATATCCTTGATTTTTTTTTTTTGCAATGCTCTTTATTAATTCATCATAAAATATTTTATTTTTGCTCATTCATTTGCAATGGTTCTTAACATCGTCACAAATCCTTATCCCTAAATTCGAGTCCACCTCGCCTACTCTTCGTCCCTAGGGGTGAGCATGGTCCGGATTGGATCGGATTTGGGTAAAACCAGGACTAATTTGTTATTTACGGTTCCTGAAAAATTGAAACCAATCCAATCCGTTTAAATCATGGAACCAATCCGAACCAATCTATTTAAATATGGATTGGATCGATTTAGGACCACGGATTCACATAATTAAATAACAAAAAAATATATATATAACACTTTAATTTCATAAAAATATAAACATAGCGCTATATTAGTTCCACAATAACAATATGTTTTTCTATAATAGCGACATACTGTTTTAGAATTTAAACAACCATAAGAAAACTAGTTTCACCATAAGTATTTAGATCATTACAAATTAAAACTAAAAACTAACAAACAAAAATAATAAAAGAAGATATTATACAGTTTTAGGTTTGTGTTTAGATTTTATATAGAATAAGAGAAGATACTATGAGAAAGAATGTATAATAAAAATATAGACTATTTATATATGGTCCGGATCAGTTCCAATCCGGAACCGTGAGATTTAATTCAGAACCAATCCGTGAATTATGAATTTTTAATTCTTCAATATAGACTGAACTGCAAATTCAAAAAATCAATTCAAACCTATCAAATTAAACTAAATTAGATCAAATTACGAATTTAACGAATTCCTTTCCCGGCCCTACCCGTCCCTTCCTCTTTCCTTCTTTTTCCAAACTTTCTGTATTCTATTATAGGATTAAAAAAAAAAAAAAAAAAAAAAAAGAAAAAAAAAAAACCCCTCAGTCTTCTGCCCTAATCTCACTCTCTCTCTCTCTTGTGGCCAGTCGTTACTCTGTCTTTCCTCTTGTTCTCGCTGTTAATACATCAAAAGCCACATAGAAGAGAGAGAGAGAGCGAGAGAGATTGACGGCAGCCGGAAGTTCCACCTCCACCCAACGCCACCTCTGCACAAGATGGCATCGAATCGGTGTTGGGACATCGATTAGCGTCAGCGCCAGCGCCACCACTGTCTCTTTCTCTTGTCCATCCATGGCCTCATTGCCGTTGCTGCCTCACCCAGTTTCTCCCCACAGGTACATCTCTGTCCGTGGAGCCCTGTCCATGGCTGATTTGCGTCTCATTATAACTTGTTTTTGAGGTAGATTTCTCAGTTTTTGATCTATTTGACCAATTGAACTCTGATTAGTCTTGTTTATACTGTTTGTTTTTGTTAAATTTTGATTGGGTTTTAGTTATAATCTCGATTTCATCAATTGGGTTTTAGTTATAGTCTTGATTTCAGATGGGTTTGTCTCTAAATCTAGTGATGATTTGGGGTTTCTTGGCTCTTCAAACTAGCGATTGTTTAAGGGTTTTTGATTTGAAGGCGTGATGAATGTGAAGTTTATGTTTTTGCCTTCAATTTGACTGTTAATAGCTTGGAACATGCAATTGCTAAAATTTTAAAGTCAACTAATTTTGTTTAATTGCTGAGAAAAACTACGGAATTCGTCTTTAGATTTTTATTTTATTTTATTTTATTGTTTTGTTTCTTAAAATAAAAAAATTGAAACTTGCAACAAAGTTACGTTTGTACTTTAGGAGGTGGGAATGATGAAAATTACATCAAAATGTTCTGGTATGTGATAATGTTATGATCTAAACAGATTGAATTTTGTGATTAGAATTTTGATCTAAACAAATTACATCAAAATTACATCAAAATGTTCTGGGAAAGGGAGCTCTTTCTAGGTTTAGAAAGACAAGCATTGAACTTCTGATTTTGTTGGAACTTAAGTGTTAGTGCAATGTACTCCAGTTGAAAACTAGTGATGATGTAATAGTGAGTACAATTACCTTTAGATAGAACATCATATTTTTCAAGTAGGACATTGCCAGTGAGAGTCATTAGTCAATGGTCCATCTTCAGTTCAAATAGCAACAATCGACTCATAGATCATGTGACTTATTATGCTGGAAAAATTACTATTCTTTTTTATGGTTAATTAATTACTAGAAAGCAGGAGCATTGTGAGTGGCTTGATCAAATGAAAATGAAGAAGAGTGATGTGGGTCTGTGGTGTGAGAGAATTGGGTTTTTATGTAGGGTGAGAATGAAGTTTAGGTAAGAGGGTGTGTTTTAAGGTGGCAAGACAGGATGGGGTGTTGATGGTGGTGAAGCAGCTAGTGGTTTGCTTAGCAATGGGTGAAAAATAGCTGAGTGAGTGGGGGGCATTGATGGTGGTGAAGTGATTCAAGTTTTTTGTGGTTAAGATTGAATGATCTTCGTTTTGCTTTGTTCCAGGGACAACCTAATTTTGAAATGTTGAAGTTTTAATTTGAATTTTGGGTGTAATGTTGTTATAGGAATGTGATACAATAGGCATAGTAGATATTTATTATGCTGTTACTAACAATGTGCATTGGCCTCCAGATCCAATTTTTGCCAGGTTTCTGATTGATGGAGCATGGTTAAAGCACTCAGCCAAAGCAGAGGCAACCTGGATAGCATGGATCAGCCATTGTAGCAGAAGCTAGAGCATGTTTTGAAGTGTTAAGATGGTGCATACAAAGCAAAGTGATGTCAGTTACCATCCTAACAAATTGTCAAGTGTTAGTAAAGAGGTTCAAGGAAGGGAATGCAGTAGATAGAGTGGAATCTGAAGTACATCTGAATGGACATCTGTTATCTATAGATTATGTATGTATAACTGAAGTACCTAGGCTGGTAGTGCAAGCTGCACACGAGGCAGCAAAGTCAGCCTCTATAAGGGTTTGTTTTGTGTTTTGTAATGGTTTATTTTGATAGGACTATATGCACCTTAACCGTCCTCAAATTTTTTTGCCAAAAGTCGAGTAGTAGCCCTTCAAAATTGAGCAGTAGCCCTTCAAAATGTGGAATCCTCATTTTCAAAACTTGGTGGGATTTTCACTCATTTGGCTACAATGGTAGCGCAACAAGGGGAATTGGCTATCAGGTTTGCTCTTTTTACATGAATATCTGACGATTATTTTAATTTGTTACCTTTGATCTGTCTAAACTTCTGAAGTACGAAAAAAAGTAGATTTTTATACAAGAAACTTAAATGCACGTGGCTCCTGATTGGAGCTTATAGTTTTGTTATTTACAGTGAATAACTATCTTGCTTGCTTGTTTTTTTTTAAATTCATGTTTTCTTGTATTGAAACTATTTATTTGTTTGATCAGGATTGATGATAACATGGAAGAGTCATTGACAAATGTTGAAAGTGCTTGCAGTGCCTTGTTAAGGCATTTAAACCAGATATCATCATACAGGTGGCTCATGATTAAGATATTTGCCATTTTGATATTTTCTTGATGGTATTCATCTTCTTTGTGGTTTAATACTTACTGATGAGAACCCTTGTATTATTGTTGCATCTGGTATTCTACACCTTTGTCATACCATTGAATCTGTCTATAGATTATTTGTCAAGTAGAGGTTGCCCATTGTGGAAATTGGGTAGTACATAGCCATTGTTCTTGTACATGTGCTTGCTACTTACCATTTTGTTGCTACCTTGTTTAGGAAGCATGTTTACAACAACATTTTCATGGGTTGAAATTATAATGAAAGATATTTTATTAGTTGACACATGGAGTTGTAACTGCTTGACTTCTTCTTGATACAGAGTTCTGCAATGGTATTTTAATTATTAGGGTACCTCTTTTTTTTTCTTTTTTGTTGTTGTTGTTGTTGTTGTTGTTGTTGTTGCTGCTCAGTCTCCTTATTAATCAAAAGGAGTTTAAAAGCTTGAATGATTTGAGAAAATAAATCCATGTAGTTGATCCCACATGATTAAGATAAGCTCTTGTCAAGTTGAGTTACAGGAAGTTTATTGATTCATATTAGAAATTGTGTAACCTTGTTCAAGCCTCTAGTATGTTTTCTTTAAAACCAAAAAAAAAAAAAAAAGTTTTCTGTTTCTTGTATTTTCCAGGCATCTCTTTGATCTCCCATGCACTTCCAGGCCACACTTGCCTACATTAAGGAGTATCAACCCTAAGGATAGATGAGGGCTGTCTCCAAGTAGCTAAAAATCATGAATCATTTGAATGCCTTTTTAAATTCTTCAGAGACAACACTCTAAATCTAGCCATATTAAAAATGTTCATAACAAGAACTTCTTCAGGAATTTTCTCTATTCTCTCAAGCCAAATGAGGAAAACAGTGCAATTTAGAGCAAACCTGGAAATAATAGAGCCAAGAGAATTACCCTTAACAGATTTAGCAATATAAGACACCAGCCCAGTCCAATTTTACATAGGCCAAGCCACATTGATCTTTGTTTTAATATTCATCCACACTCTCTCAGAGAAGGGGCAATTAAAAAATAAGTAGGAGTGGTCCTCAATGTGGGAAAAGCATAATGGGCAAGTAGCAACAGGAGAAACCTATTTGGATATATCATTTTTTCATAAGTGCTTTTGCTGGTCTTGTTGTAAGTACCATAATTATATGTGTTACATCTTCAACTTACTCCTTAACCATATGATTTTGTAGTAACATGTTTTAGTAACTCAAATTCAAATTATTAAGCATACAAGTCCACTTTGATTCCATCTTTCATTGTATTTCCACAGCTGGATTTAGCTACATCTGGAAAAGGAGGAATTGGGACTTATATTGGAATATGTATGATTAGCGGTGCTTTTGGAGTTGCAGATGCTCATGTTCAGGGTGGAATGGTTGGAGATCTATCATTCAGGCTACCCGAGTTCATGCAAGTTAGTATTTGTGGTTAGCTTATTATCTGATCTAGTTTTGAAGTTTTGATATAAGCTTTCTTGTTTTTTTATTCTTTATGTCTTTTCTTGCTGTTTTGGCTGCATCGGGGGATCTAACCTCTGGCTTGAGATTGATTACAAAAGCAGCATTTGAGAATTCCAAGGATGGCCTGCGCAAGGGAGCTAGTATGTTCAAATCCTTTTAGCTGTTTTTCATAAATTTTGTAGGAAATATGATTCAATAAGTATTGCTACATATTGGGGTTACAATTTTCTAGTTACTGTTTTGTGAAAGAGATACTCATCAAACTTATGTCAACATTTAAGCCAATGACTCAAAGTATGAACGTAACAGAGATTAAGTTCAGGTAGGTAGACAATGACCTTTTTTTCTCTCGAGTTTTTTCTTTATTTTTTATTTATAAATATTTATGGTTATTGTTTTCCACCTAAACTACAAATAATAGGTTATCATTGTCAATCTTTTTAGGTAGTTTATTTTGATGCATTTTGTACTATATTTGACTTATGTTTCCAAACCAAGTATTTTGCTTGTGCCCTATTTTGTTCAAATTAATGAAATGTTTGTCCCGGATATTGACAGCTAACATAATTCAATTGAATCTGTAGTGAACTTCATAAGGGAAAAACATAGATGTTAAAGTAAGATAATGATCAAACTGATTTGGATTGTAGAGTCACAAAATGAATTAAAATTTTTACTTCATAATAATAGAATCGATATCTCTGATGAATATGCTTTCTTTAATTCCATACAGCACCCATGGTTATCAGAATCCCGATCCGGATCTTACGATCCTACGATCTTACGATTCATTTGAGTACAATTGATCCCGATTTCACCTGTAATATCTTTTCTTTAATTTCAATTGCACTATTTTAAAGAATGCTGAGATAGAGTACTATGATAGCATGTAATACTAGTTTACTAATTTTTATTACTTACGGTTCATTACAGTTTTATTTTTTGCTATCTCTGCATTTTTTGAACTCCTTTGCATTCTTCTCTATGCATTGGTCTTTCCAAAGCTACCAATTGTAAAATACTACCGCTCAAACGGCGTCGGATGTCAACAAAACTTAACACATACGACTAACTAGGCACAAATGACTTGTAGAAAAAGACGGGACTCGAAATCGATTCTCCATTTTGAATCTGGAGCATAATTTCCATTTGTGAAAATTTGTCCTTTATAAATTCTTTTTTGAAGAACAATTGGAGACACTCTTGAAAGATACATTGTGTGGCGTTTGATTTATGTATATGTTATTTATTTATTTATTTTATGAAATAAATATCAAATGTTTTACATATTTTGTAAGCTTGAAATTAATTATATTATAGATAATTTTTTTTTCTTTTTTCAGATGTTACTCTTTTGAGTATGTGATAATATCTTCGCATATCGATGTTGGAGCTTACTGTTAATACTAAAACAAGCTGTTAATATATATGCCTTTTTATTAGTATTTGTCGATACTTTAGACTTGTTTTAGATACAAATTTGAGTTTTTGAATTATCAAAAAATATTAGTATTGTTAGAGGATGTTTTATATATTTTTGTAAAGAATATTTGGTTGACACTGTATCATTATAGGATACGCACATATATATATATATATATATATATATATAATTATTCGTATATATGATTTTGTGAATGTGAATGTGGATGTGAATGTGGATGTGTATTAATAATTTGTACAAAGAATGAATTAATAAAATATATATTTATTTTATGAAAAAAAATTTGCGGCAGTAATAAACTGTCGCTAATGGAATCATCATTTCCTTGCATTTTATTAGCGACGGGTTAACCTGTCGCATATGTCTTTAACGACGGTTTAAACTGTCGCGAATATATTATTGATTTAATTTTATTTTTTTGCGACATTTAAGACTATCGCTAATAATACTTTTTGCGACATCAATTACCATCTCTAAAAGAGTTTTTGGTGATGGCATCGTAAACTGTCGTTAAAAGAGATGTTTTTTTCCCCTTTTTTTTGTGTCGGTTAAATCGTTGCAAAAACTATTGATTTAAAGTGACGGTTTGTAACCGTCGCAAATACCTTTTGTCACGCCTCCTTCCGTCACGCACCCATAGTACTCTATCTCAGCATTCTTTTGTGACGGCATATACACCTTTTGCGACGTTTACGACTGTCACGAAGTTCCTGTTTTTAGTAGTGGAATAAGTTGATTTGGATAGCATTTTAAATATAGACCCTTGTCCGATTTAACATATGATGTGTAACTGAAAATAGGGCAACGTACCCTCACGGCCAACGGTGATAGCATTGTGCAACCTTGATACCAAGGTGTAAGCGTTTATTATCAGTATCTTAAAGGAAAATTCAATAAACTTTATCATAGGAAAATTTCAACAGCAAGCCCCACAATGAGTTTTACAGTAAGGGGGAATTACATGTAGGTGTAAGATAGAAAAAAATTACAAACACATGGGGGTGCAGGTATGTTCATAGTGAGGTGCAAATAAAAGATTGCATATAATTCCCCCTTACAGTAATGACAGAATGTTCTTAGATGCACCATGTTTGGTCATCAAATTTTATGCTTTTCGTATTACAGGGTCTTCGTGATTCACTTGCAACCCTTTCAAAGCTTCTCATTAGACTATAACAATCACAACACTGGGCACATGACACAAAAGTTCAGCTCAGAGCAATTTTCTACGCCAAACTACTTAGAATTCATTACCCATTTCTGGTGGGGAATTTTTAAAATGGTTTTTAAAATTTATTGTTTAATTTTTGGGTATTTTCAAAACATTCCTTGTTTTTCTTTGGAAAGCATTAATTAAGCTTGGAGACTTTGTCTCACATTGGAAAGAGAGCAAAACATGGAACACTTAATAAAGTGCTATATGGAATATTCTTTTGAATATGAAATTATGAGATGAAAGTTTGTGTATGCACCCACACACCAAGGATGGTGCTTCGCACCATCTGCACACGCACGTGTGGCGTGGGCTGTGTTGCGTTTGATGGCGCACTTTGCACGGATGCATCGGCGCCATGAGGGCGCTTTCCTATTTGCATTGGATAGGTTGGAGCGATGACGTGGATCCGACGTGGCATGGGTGACGTGGAATACAGTCAACTTCACATGGCAGTGACGTGTCATCTGTTGGCGATGAGTCAACCAACCGATCAAACGATTGTTAGCACCCGATCATGATCAGGTATGATTAGTCAAGGCATCTATTCGGTGTTTGAATAACCTGCACCATAGATCGTCGATCCAACGGTTAGATCTGATCGGATGCGATCAAGGGACATGACGTGCATCGGCGCCATGAGGGCACTTTCCTATTTGCATCGGACAGGTTGGAGCGATGACGTGGATCCGACGTGGCATGGGTGACGTGGAATACAGTTAACTCCACATGCAGTGACGTGTCATCCGTTGGCGATGAGTCAACCAACCGATCAAACAATTGTGTGTCCGATTTGGAGCGGGTTGATCATAGCGATCGATTAGAGATGTACGTGATTGTACGGATGAGATGGCACCCGATCATGATCAGGTGTGATTAGTCAAGGCATCTATTTGGTGTTAAAATGACTTGCACCATAGATCGTCAATCCAATGGTCAGATTTGATCGGATGCGATCAAGGGACATGACTATTCATCCGATCAGATTCATTAAGGCCTATAAATAAGCTATGAAATGAGACATTTCATTCAACCCAAAATCCTGAAAAGCATTCATGCAATTCTCTCTCTCTCTCTCCCTCTTGATTTTGAATTTTCGATAAAGAGTTTTTTAAGTAAATTTTTGTTTTTCTTATTGATAATCAAGTTCTGCAGATTTGATTATCAGTATCTTGGTTTCTTGATTATATCAAGAGTGTTCTGATTTATTATCGTCAGTGCAGATGCCGATAGACTAGATCTTTATATCATGCTTTATTGTATCCTGGAAGCAAATTTGTTGTAACTCCCTGCACACCTTTTGGTGGGTACAAATATTGTCTATAGAAAAGCGACTTAGTAACGCAACTTGAAGCACTAATTTTCTATTCTATATAGACATGATGATTGCCAAATTTTGAAGACTCGAAGACCACCATTTGAAGAATTCAAGACCCTTTATTCCAACAATTTCACTCCTAAACTCACTTACATGACAGAGATTGCCATTATTTCCAATCATGGCACAAGGATATCAATAAATTCACTCAAATCCTATTCATATGAAGAAAAAGCATGTAAGAACCAATAATTGAGGGTCAGAACTTTATTTGTTTTAGATTATACCCAAGAACACTTGTTATTTGGTGACCCCATTGTTCATCACACAAGCTCAACAAAGATAGTTGATAACCTTGAGATAAAAATCTTCAAATAGACTCCATAAAAATTCAATTTTTTTTATTTTTTTTTATTTTTCTAAATTTATGAATGAAAAGTGAAAAAGAAGTGACTGAGAGACATATGGACCTCAATCTCATAGCATTCAATTCAGCATCCTTGGCTGCATAAATTGATGCATAGCCTAGAAAAAATCCCCAAATCCATTAGGGGAGAGAGAGAGAGAGAGAGTTGATTCCCTCCATTGTTTTGCTGTCTATAAACCCTCTTTCCACAACCACTAGGGTTTTGTCTAGGGGAAATCGAAATTGTGTGACCCAAATAGCAGACCCGGAACTGTATGCCCCGAGAAGTAACCGAGTTGGGTCGAGTTGGGTCGGGTGTCTGAATTGACAATTTTAATCAAATGGGCTGGATTGGGTCTTTTGATTGGGCTGCTATTCAACATATCAAAATTACTTGGATTTGGATTGGAATTAGGCACAGGACCTCGTTGGTCTGTGTTTGGTGTTTTTTTGTATCTCCTCAAAGTCCAAACAACCCCTAAAAAAAATTATAATAACATAATAAAATGTAATTTTTAAGGTGTGAAAGAATTAAATTACGACAAATTATTTAAAATATACATTGGCATGATGCAACCCATTTCTTATGAAAAGGAGACCCACGAATGAGGATACTTTTAATGGGTCGTCCCATCATATACTAACATGTACATTTTATTATACTTTTGTATTTAAGTGTAGGATTGAGATTTTTTTCTAATTGAAATTTCCTTGGAAGCTGTTTTTTTAACCTTGGTGGGCTCACCATAAAATCTGCACTACTTTTTTTTTACGGGGGAAGCCAGTTGTTAGATTACCTCACTTACCTTCAATATCCAAATAGCTCAACTTATTGTGCTTTTTAAGCAAATTATTCATGAAAATAAAGCAGGTTGAGCGAACTACCGAACAATTATAATCATATAATTGTATCACATTTGTTTTTGAAAAAAATGAATAGTCTATTATTAAAATTATACGTGTTAATCATATATTTAAAGACAAACATGACCTTATTGTGTTTACATTTAGACAGACATCATGCCCAACACTCATACTCAACTTTATATAACATAAGTCAAAGTTATTTAACAAAAATTTAACTGCCATTAGTTGCCCATTGCATTGGACTGGATTGGTGTATGTTTGAGTGAGGGTCAAGTTAATATGAAACGCGTCTACCAAAATTAATGCAGATCAAT